AACACTGATGACCTGGGGTCACGTTCACCAAGAGCCGAGAACAAACTTCTTATTTATCGATTTTTATGTTGACATTTGTTCCAAAAGTCTAGTTATTATATTAGTCTCAATTATTGTTATGAGAAATATGAGAAATAATTCTTAGTTAGAACTTTCGGGTATTCAGAGAGTTGAGAGTTGTTATGAACATCGTGACTGAATTATTATCGAACAACAAACATTCAGGATATATCTCATTGTACAAGATTCGGGATTTATTTGTGTATACAATCTGATATCGGGAAATCGTTTATTACAAAATTTACGCACCAGCTATTCTACAGTTATTGTCATTCGCGATGATTTCACTCTGATTTGTAAGATAAATTCCCCATACTCTTACATTACCCATGATACTGTTCGAGCCTCGTTGGTAGGTTTTTCTAGAATGTTCAAGATGTCGCTGATGTAACAAGTGTTTGTAAACCGTTCCGTTGAAATAAAACGGAGTTTGTGTTCATCGAGAACCGTGAGTTTCTTCAGTGTCACTGGGAATGGGCGAAAACCTGTATCAGAACATTAAACGTTCCCCGCAATAAAACGCTGATACGAATTACGTTGTTACACGTTGCATTTGTTCACAAATTATGCAGTAGTGATTAAATTTACAAAAATAATAAAAATGCGAAGGGCCACCATTATATTATAAATATGAGCGAAGGACCTCGTTTTTATTGTAAATATGAGCGAATGACCACGATTACGTGATAAATATGAGCGAAGGACCACGTTATATTATAAATAAGAGCGAAGGACCACGATTACGTGATAAATATGATCGAAGGACCACGATTATATTATAAATATGAGCGAAGGACCACGTTTATATTATAAATATGAGCGAAGGACCACGTTTATATTATAAATATGAGCGAAGGGCCACGTTTATATTATAAATAAGAGCGAAGGACCACGATTACGTGATAAATATGAGCGAAAGACCACGATTATATGATAAGTATGAGCGAAGGACCACGTTTATATTATAAATATGAGCGAAGAACCACGTTCATATTATAAATATGAGCGAAGGGCCACGTTCATAAAACATCACAAGGTCGGCACTCAGCTGGAACCCACAGGGCAAAAGGAAAAGGGGCTGTCCAAGAAATACCCGACGACGGGACCTAGAGGCTGATGTCCGGAGGTTGGGCTATACCTGGAGGGAA